ATCTGCATGATCAAAAAATGTTTAATGAAAAGAGAACTATATATACTTACATCTTTTGGGTTAGTAATGTCCCAAAAATAGGTAAATCATGTTGTTAATTACTATTGTGCGCCATCAAAGAAGATAAGAAAGTAAAGAAAAAGCAAAAAAAAATGAGAACCTGGACAGACACTTGGATTAGAAAAAAAACAACAAATAATAATAATAGTCAGTTTTTGGAAAAAGAAAAAAACATCAAAAATTCAGTTCGATAATGATAAATTATCATGTGTATCTTGAGTCGGTGTGAACACTTTCATATGTCATAGGAGAAAAAAAAGAGATCATAAATGGTTTTTCTACTCATACAATTTGTGACAGTATGTCTCAGACAAATCTAAATCTTACCGTTATGTCTAAAATTATTCGATAGACATTTGTTTCTAATTCACAATTGATATTTTCACTCTAGTGATTTTTCTCATCTTTGTTTTATTTTGATTGTACATGGACAATGATGTCGCTTAATTTTCACTATATATATCTATATATTATAAAAAGTTTTCTTTTCTTTTTTTTCTCACCTGCATCAGTCATATTGAAAAATAATAAGAATCAGAATGATGAATATAACGAAGAAAGAGAAAAAGAAGAGAGGAAACTTTCAAGTTAAATAGTGTCATTGATTGTTCCATCACCGTGTGTTTATTTGAAAAAAATCTGCATTATTCATAACATAGTCAAGTTAATTGACTGGATATATGGTCTAAATCGAGAAGGGGAAACGATTAAAAATACAATTGTTCGTCAAAAGGATGATAAAAAGAAAAGAGAAAGGAACTTAATTTCTAATTATGGCTACCATCACTATTACTGCTGACCAAATTGAACATGATTTATGAAATTTTTTGCGACTACGTCCAACTTCAAAGATTTTTATCTAATTATAGAATATTATGTAAATCAAACAAAATTCCAAGTGCCCATATCATACGCAAGAAAAATACGAATTATCCCAGTTCGCATGATTTTTATTGCCGTAACTTGTTAGCATCGAAAAAATTCGATGAATAATTTCATTAGAATTTGCTGCTGATAAGTTCCATCTCGGATTCTCATAGTAAACAAGCAAATCCGGTCAATTGTGACAGTCAGAAACGGTCGAAAATTTTGCTGATTTCAGACCAAAAAACGTCCGCAGACACGTATCGAATCGGAGTTGATCAGATGAATTTGATCTGGGATACTACCGGTAACAATAAATCGATTATTGGCTTTTCAAGAGTTCACCATCTGTTCGGTACTTTTTGAAATGTCACCTTATATCAAACATATATTCGTGCAGTTAACCTTAACCGACGAACAATATGCAATTCGATTCGAAGATATTTGAGTAATAAAAACAATCGTAAATGTTGTCACCTGTATATCTAACTATCAAAGATATAAAATGATCTAATTTCATCAACGTATGTAGTCGAACACCCAGAACTAATGTTGATACGACAGACATATAAAATTGTCTTTTGAGTATAAGAAAAAACAATTTCTAATAATGTCGCGAAAAATTCGTTTAAATTTAAGATTATTGAACTTTATTCATCGGTCGACCAATTTCCTATTGTAGGAAGACATTTTCAGATGGTCATTGATTGAGTAGTAAATACTATATAACACATTTTATAGGTGAGAAGGGAAATGCTATTTTATATCATATAACAGCATGATATCAAACTTGCTTAACAATTTGATTGATGTTTCAAATTTTAACAATATTTAGGTGTGGATGTCATCAAACATTGATACCTAATTATATTTTGTTGACCGTATTATTTGTGAAGTCACTGATTAACTGTCTCTTTTTTTTTTCTTTTTTTGACGTAATAACAGTCTGTTTTTTAACACGCTCATAGTCGTTTAAGTAATTAGTGTACAAATTATCTACAGTTTTCTTCTTTCTTCTTCTTCTGATTTTTCTCTCCTTGAACGACGATAATACTCCTGTTGAATATACAAACAAAAAAAATAGGATGACTAACCGACTAACGTACTTGCTTTGATGGATTTAGTTGGAATTAAAAATGAAAATCAATGTGTTCATTTCACAACAGAAAAATCGCCGACATCTTCAATTTAATGACGATTAAAAAAAGGGTCGTGATATTAATAAATAAATATATGTGTGAAAACTAAAAACAGAAGATGAAACTGAAACATTTTATTAGGTATGGTGTGGAACTTGATTACAATCTCATCTCACCTCATAATTCTATAGACTATATAAACAGAGTCGAATGAAAGAGTGAATAGGGGATCACTCAGACTGATGACAGAAGCGTGCAATATTTAACGTTGTCTCTGTTACTCTTATCATATTCATGGTTTATTCTTGCTGAGATTTAGTCATCATCGCGAATTTTCCTTCTAAAGACTCCGCGATCTTGTCGGAAATTTTTTACGTGAAGAACCGTCAGATTCTCGCTACATGGAAAAATAACAAGAATAAGTAAGATTGCGTTAGAGGTTCCACTTCAAACTGCTTATTTTGTGTAGAGATTGCATAAAGATAATCACATATTCCTGGAACGAAATGGCGCGTGAATACTACTAAGGTACTTACTACGAAATAATCCCTAAAGTATAATTTAAATAATAATAATTAATGATAATAAAAGTAATTGCAAGTCCAACTGTATGTTTACAAAAGTATTCTTTGCAAAATAATCTGCACGAACAAAAGTTTTATTGAGCCGAAACTATGTGAGCAGATTCATACCACATCTTAAAATGATTGAACTATGAAAATATGAATGTGAAATATAAAGAAGCGTGCGTATGAAAAATTTTACTTTAGAACTGTACACATACAGTGAAAAAATATATCTTTCAATACTGCTCTTTGTTCAGTCTTTTGCAAAAAAATTCAAAAATAGTTTTCTTTTCAGTCCCGTTCTCTAAACAGCGTAAAAATTTAATAATTTGCACTCCGTTCTTCTATCCATTCAGTCCAAACTCCGTTCTCTTTTCATACTTTTCCAAAGAAGAAAGAGAAAGAATGTTATAAAATATTATTACAAATATTTCAATACAAAGACGCTAAATTGAGAGAGATTATCCCTCTTAGCTACTGTTCGAGAGAGAAAATAATCTGCTAATTTGCGATAGCCAATATTTCCTTTTATTAGGTTGAGGAAAAAGTTCGTGCGCCGTGTTAAAATAATGATTTTTTATGCATGAATTTATTCAAAAACAACAACAACTATTCTTCAAAATAAAGATCGTCATTGTCCACGACCTTCTGCCAACGATCTGCAGGCTTTCGGATTTGATCAAAGTACCACTCCTTCGGCTTTGAATCGAAAAATTCTTCACATGCTTCTTTCTCCAATAATGACGCAGCAATACGTGAAGCTCAAAATTTGTGATTTCGTAATCAGACATCTTAAAAAATCAATAAATTTTCATAATAGCCACAAAACCAGATCAAAAACCCAAAAAGAATATATAAAAAAATCATTATTTTAACACGGCGCACGAACTTTTTCCTCAACCTAATAGAAGCTATGTTCGAAGATACAGAAAATAGTTTGAGATTAAACAAACGTCGGTTAACAAATCTTCCCAGGTGGAACTTCTCTAGTCGAAATTTCTAAAAATCTTGCAGGTTCCGCAAACATTTTTACAGATCTAGTTCTTTGGGTTGTAAACCGAGGTCCTGGTTCGATTCACAGCCAACGCTCGCTTCTTGTGAATTTGTTTATCGAAAGTTCACTCGCAAAAAAAACTATGTTTCCTTCTAAACAGCAAATAAAATGTAGCAGTTAAACATAAGAGCAGGGAAAACACCATTCATTTTGGTTATATTAAGCCAAATCTTAGCTCATAGTTAAAATATTGCTACAATCAATTGCTTAGAACCATTAACCGGCGACATGCACGAATTCTGATGAGATAAATTTAGTGAGAGACGATTAGTTTTCATGTGAAATTTTTCAAAAAAACTACTATCATATACTCCCCAAAACACAGCAAAACAAAACTACAGCCCATCACCAGACTTTTCATTTATCTCCTAGATGTTCCATGGCATAAGATCACATTTCACCTTCGTCAAAGAAATGCTCACCTAACGACGACGAGGTCATCAACAACTGAATTAGTGCTGATGCAGCTAGTGGAGAATACCCACCACCAGACTATTCATCCATCTCCAAGATGTTCCATGGCACAAGGTGACATTTCACTTTCGTCACAGAAATGCTCATCTCACGACGACGAGGTCACCAAGAACTGAATAAATGATGATCCAGCTAGTGAACAATGCCAACGATTACACTGTTCATCTATCTCCTAGATGTTTCATGGCACAAGATAACATTTTACTTTCGCCACAGAAATGCTCATCTGACGACGACAACGTCACCAAGAACTGAATTAATGATGATGCAGCTAGTGAAGAACGTCAAAGAAGATTATACTGCCCGTCTATCTCATAGATGTTCCATGGCACAAGACGACATTTCACTTTCGTCACAGAAATGCTCATCTGACAACGACGAGGTCACCAAGAACTGAATTAATGATGATGCAGCTAGTGAAAAATGCCAACCACCAGACTATTCATCTATCTCATAGATGTTCCACGGTACAAGATTAGATTTCACTTTTCTCACAGAAATGCTCATCTGACGACGACGAGGTCACCAACAACTGAATTAATGATGATACACCTAGTGAAAAATGCCAAAGATTATACTGCCCGTCTATCTCTTAGATGTTCCATGGCATAAGATGACATTTTACTTTCGTCACAGAAATGCTCATCTGACGACGACGAGGTCATCAACAACTGAATTAATGATGATGCAGCTAGTGAAGAATCCCAAAGATTCTACTGTTCATCTATCTCATAGACGTTCCATGGCACAAGATCACATTTCACTTTGGTGACAGAAATGCTCATCTGACGACGACGAGGCCACCAAGAACTGAATTAATGATGATGCGGCTAGCGAAGAGCGTCAAAGACCAATATTATACAGTTCTTCTAACTCCTAGATGTTCCATGGCATAAGATGACATTTCACTTTCCTCACAGAAATGCTCATCTGACGACGACGGGGTCATCAACAACTGAATTAATGATGATATAGCTAGTGAAGAATCCCAAAGATTATACTGTTCATCTATCTTCTAGATGTTTCATGCCGCAAGGTGACATTTCACTTTGATGACAGATATGCTCATCTGACGACGACGAGGTCACCAACAACTGAATTAATAAAGATGCAGCTAGTGAAGAATAGCAACGAAGATCATACTGTTCATCCATCTTCTAGATGTTCCATGGCACAAGATGACATTTCACTTTCGTCACAGAAATGCTCATCTCACGACGACGAGGTCACCAACAACTGAATTAGTAGTCATGCAGCTAGTGAAGAATGCGAACGACCACCACGAATATTATAGTGTTCATCTATCTCCTAGATGTTTCATGGCACTAGGTGGTATTTCACTCTCGTCGCAGAAATGCTTGTTTGACGACGGGGACATTGGCTTTAGGTAACAGAATTATGGCGGAGGTGATGTATGAGTGATATCAAGTAGTTCCAAATAAATGCAGGTTTTTGTTGGGGTGTTGTTGAGTTCGATGATCTGAAACTTTGTTCCTGGCGGTAGAAGGACTTCTTCTTCGTCGTAGTGGGAAAGTGACGATACGTCTAAACCAGGGTTTTTGGTCGCGTCGATAATGAATAGGGCGTTGCCGATGATCTGCGCTTTTTGTCGATTTCTGCTAGTTGAGGTGAAGCCGTCCCAGCATCCCATCTGGCCGGTCGCTGCCTCGTACGATTTAAGTATGCTGTGATCGATGTTTACACCTCGATAGAGTGTACAACATTCGGAGAGTTCTGCTGTATGTTTGGTACTTGTCGTTAGCCAGCTTCTGAATAAAATGTAGCAAAATGGGCCGAGAGTGTTTACTTTGCTCATGTCGTTTTCTCTCAGTGCTTTATTTATTAGTTTATATAGAAAGGATTCCATTGTGTATAGCTGAATGCAACACTTGTAAATTTCTTCTCTGTTCTGGTTTTCGACGGCTGTTAGTTGGCGAGCTATATATTGTGAGGCACAATGTTGACGTAGTTGGTTTCCTTCGATAATTATTCCATTGGCTGCCTCGTTCACTATTTCAGCATCAGAAAGTTCCTTGCCTTGCTTCCACTGTGAAAGAAAAGTATAAGCGCTTTCACCCCAGTCATCACTGAACGTTTTACTCAATGGTGGGAGAAAGAATCTTTCTTCTCTTAAACCTTGACTTTCATTTCTACTAATTAGAACTCGCTTTATTGGCCGTTGTTTATTTGGATCCGATTTACTGATTTGAATGGAATCGTTTAAGTTAATCGAATAATTATCCAGTTCAACTAGTTTTGTTGCATTTTTTCGATTAAGTGCTTCTTCCATAATGGCTGATTCGATATCAGAATATTTTGTCCATTCTTCTTTTCCATTTGTTGACCGTGGTTCAGAATTCGATTTCCAATACCATTGAGCCCGTGGTTGATCAGCTGCTTTTATCGCTTGACTTGTCATTGATTAGATTGTTTGGAATTGATGGCTCCTAGAATCGTCTGTGGATCTAGGAAAGACACTGGAAAAGTATCAGAATATTCTGTAATTGAAGGAACACCTGTTCAACTCTTCAAGACCAACTCTGAGTGATTATGTTTACTTTCTATTCATTAGTGAAACCGAAACTTATTTTTGCAGTTTAGTACATAGCAATAGTGAGACGAAATATATCTGGAACACAAAACAAACAGTTTCGACCAGGCATCTTCTCTATGATTTAGATATAGCACTTAAAACAACAGTTACCTATGTGTACAAGCAGAAGTCTCTCACTGAAAAGAAAAGTACATCGACGCAAAAGAAAGAGAACATTACTAACAAAATATCCTAGACAGGAAAAAAAACCATATGAGATCCAGTGTAAATAAATAACATGTATTTACACAGAAATGAAGCCGTAGCCTGATGCAGACAATTAGAATTGATGTTGGCTAGAGACAGACAACTACATAAACAAGAAGACTGAAGCGAACCTGCTGTAGGAACAACGACTTGTGAAGACTTGATATGCGTCTTGTTGTTTCCAAAGTTCTTAATGAGGCATGCCTTCCTATGTAACAAGTAGAGACATCAAATGACTGCTTTAGTTTCAAGATTAGCGTTCAAATTTTCGCTTTTAATCTTCTTATTTGAAGGCTCCTGAATCTGTTTGAAAGAGATCATTCCGGCCATGAACAAACAGGACAAGTTGATATGTGATCATTCAAGTCGGACAGCATCACTAATGTTGACGTAGTCATATGACGTGGAAAAATATTAATTGCAAGCAACTGTGTATTTTTCCTTTCTAACATTAGCTACTATCGGTTCCAAAATACAAGAGCAGTGGTCATTGTTTAAATAACTCAGCATCAAATAAAGATAGAGACTTACAGTTTTCACCACTTGGTAGCCAATACTTGAGGCAATCTTTCTACAAGCAAAACTGGCTTTCGG